CTCAGCGTTTTAGAAAACAACACCATGGGCCGTCACAAGAAAGGGTGCTCCTCCAGAGTGGTGTCTGAGTCAGGGCCACAAGCGCGTCAAGCCTGCTCTGCGTTAGCATCCACGCGTGAGCCTCCGCAAGCCCAGATGGCCGATCCCATTGCCACAGGCTCTGATCATTGCCTGTCTAGTTAGTTAGTTTTAAGATCTGCCATCTTCAAGGTTTTATAATTGCTTAAATGCTTGTTAATCTTGTCCTCCTAAATAGGAAGCTAGCTCCCACATGTTGTGTGGTAGGTGTGGTACTTGGTAATAAGTGGATTAAGCACTTTGGGAGTTATGCAATACTCAGAGTCTCTAGATCAACTTCTTGAGCAAAACTTAACAGCCTATGAATTTCAAGTCACAAGACTTCATTTCTTCTTTTTTTTTCCTCCTGCAGCCTTGATTTCTAACTTCTGCTCTGCTGACCTTGGGCCCACTTCCTTATCTCAGTTCCTTTTTGGCTGGAAGTTTCCCTTAACTTTTTTTTTGAAAAAATATTTATTTATTTGCATTGGAAACACAGATCAGATTTGTGGAAGGGAGAGACAGAAAGATTTTCCATTAGATGGTTCACTCCCCAAATGGTCACAACAGCATGAGCTGGTCCATCTGAAGCCAGGAGCCAGGAGTTTCCTCCGGGTCTCCCACGCGGATGCAGGGTCCCAAGGCTTTGGGCCGTCCTCCACTGCATTCCCAGGCCCCAAGCAGGGAGCTGAATGGTAAGTTGAGCAGCTGGGACATGAACCTTTACCCATATGGAATCCTGACACTTGCAAGGTGAGGATTTAGCCGTTGAGCCATTGCACTGTGCCCATGTTTCCCCCATTTTTTAAAATTAATTTTATTTTGGTGTTGTTTATATAGTTGACAGTAATGTAGGTTCATGAGGACCATCGAATAGGGAGTGGAGGGTCACAGGCTGAGGGAAGGTGGGTGGAGCAAATGCTTCCAATTTTCCCCATCTTCCCTTTTCTCCCCTATTTGGGGGGTGGAGTAGGGAGAAGAGGGGCCTGCTTCCTGCTGCCAAGCTACTTCAGCACCAGGGGATGCAGATGTAAACCCAAGCTTGTTTCAACCCCAAGCAGCCTGTATCTAATGCAATATTGTGAAGTAACCAGTGAACCAACAATCGATATGAGTCAGATTGCTTATGATCTACATCAAAGAATTGCAAAACCTAATATACTTGTAAGGCCCTATGCTACTCAGAAATGGGGAGGGAGAGCAGAGAAATCTTACATCACCCTAGAAGGTGTGAGGAAGATGGGGAGTATAACCTATAAGGATCATTACTGGTAACTCATAGACAACAGACTCGAATCAGCATCAGACAATAGCAAAACTACAAAGGCATATGGGGGGAATCAGGAGCGATCCCAACAACCTTTTAACAGGAGGTCATATGCACAGAGCAGGGGGGGACCCCAGAGTGGAGCAGGCAGACAGGAGGAGGCTTGTATCCCAACCCTGAAGACTCCCAGATCCTCACCAAGGACTATCAGAACGAGCACCGAGGACTATATCCCAACTGCCAAGGAGACCATGGAGAATTGGAGTGTCTTTAGAGGTTGAGAACTCTGAGGTCACCCACACCCATTTGGATCTACCACATGGGATGGAAGAAGCCAAAACCCTGCCTTGCAGGATCTAAGGTCATTGGAACGACAACCAGGAGCACTGAGCTGTCCACAGACAGAAGAACAGAAAGCTTCCTTCGGAACTAGAGAGAGGAGCTTTCTCTGGTCCTTGCCTGGTTCCAACTCTGGGTCCCCACCCTCACTGGCAATGACCATCAGGATCGCTCTGGAAACCCCTCAAAACTAACAAACAAACAAACAAATAAACAAAACCTAGAACAGACAGAGAACAACAAGGAAAGCTTGGAAAGAGACAGGAAACGGTCAGCGGGGATGCACTTATAACACACTGGGTGGGACACAAAGATTAGTTACTCCTCACTAGGGTATTGAAGATTTCTCTGCAAACCCCTCCTAAAACTGTTCACCTAAATTGTTGACATATGTCTTGTTAGAGTTATAGAGTTAGACTACCTGAAAAACAGCCAGGTTCTGCAAAATCATACTTCAATGCTATAAACTGCTAAATACTAAAATTAAAATAGACATGAGACAGCTGAATAGTAATCTATAGCCATTTTAAGGTGTATAGAACCCAGCTGTATATAAACTAATAATTGTAATGTCAATATAGAAGTCATAGGATGTGGTTCAGAACTTGCACTCTTTTTTTTTTTCTCTCTTTTAACGTGCTGGTTACACAATACCATGTCAACTAATTCCATTACGTTATAAATTGTTACTGATGTCATGTCGGGGCTTTTAATTGATTGGGATGATACTCTATCAGCTCTACCTTCAGACCAGAGATGGTCTCCCCAAGAAACTGTTGAATTTATCTGGACAATAAGATGCTGGACTCTATGCTTTGTAGATGCTTGCAAGGAAAGAATCTCAACTGAATTTGAACTGTGGTAACGCAACAAGGTGGAAGAATCCATCATGGGGCAGGGTAGGCTTTGGGGAGGAGAGGGGGGAATCCCAGTGCCTATAAAACTGTGTCATACGGCCCAAAGCTTTGGGACCCTGCACCCGCGTGGGAGACCCGGAAGAGGCTCCTGGCTTCGGATTGGCATAGTATCGGCCCGTTGCGCTCACTTGGGGAGTGAATCATCGGACGGAAGATCTTCCTCTCTGTCTCTCCTCTCTGTATATCTGCCTTTCCAATAAAAAAATAATAAAAATAAATCTTTTAAAAAAAAACTGTGTCATATAATGCAATGTAATCAATCAATCAATCCCATTTTCCATTAAAAAAAAAAAGATTTATTTATTTTCATTGGAAAGGCAGATACACAGAGAGGAGGAGAGAGAGGAAGTTCTTCCATCCAGTGGTTCACTCTCCAAGCAGCTGCAATGGCTGGAGCTGAGCCAATCTGAAGCCAGGAGCCTGGAGCTTCCTCCAGGTCTCCCATGTGGGTGGAGGGTCCCAAAGCTTTGGGCCTTCAGCTGCTTTCCCAGGCCACAAGCAGGGAGCTGGATGGGAAGCATGACCGCTGGGATTAGAACTGGCGACCACATGGGATCCTGGCACATTCAAGACGAGGACTTTAACTGCTAGGCTATCATGCCAGGATACATTTTTAACGTAAAAAAACATTTTGGTAATGTAAGTTGCAACTTAAAAAAAATAGGTGGCTTGAGCCTGACACAGTAGTCTAGTGGCTAAAGTCTACCTTTCCAATAAAAACAAATAAATCTTGGGCCCGGCGCGGTGGCACAAGTGGTTAAGGTCCTCGCCTTGCACGCCCAGGATCCCATATGGGCGCCAGTTCTATCCCGGCAGCCCCGCTTCCCATCCAGCTCCCTGCCTGTGGCCTGGGAAAGCAGTAGAGGACGGCCCAAAGCTTTGGGACCCTGCACCTGCGTGGGAGACCCGGAAGAGGCTCCTGGCTTCGGACCGGCATAGCATCGGCCTGTTGCGCTCACTTGGGGAGTGAATCATCGGACGGAAGATCTTCCTCTCTGTCTCTCCTCTCTGTATATCCGCCTTTCCAATAAAATGTAATAATAAAAAAAAATCTTTAAAAAAAAAAACTTGCCTTTTAAAAAAAAATAAATAAATCTTTAAAAAAAGAAAAGAAGGTGGCTTGCAAAGACTATAAATTTTCTTAACATTTATTCTAAACATTCAAAGGCTAATTTATCCAGCAAAGCTATATATATATATAGTCTCTCTCTCTATATATATATATATATATTCTATATATATTCTAAGCACTTTTCAAAAATGTTAATTTTAAATATTTTTATTATTTTTATTTTTATTAGAAAGTCAGCTACACAGAGAGAAGGAGAGACAGAAAGGAAGATCTTCAATCTGTTGACACTCCCCAAGCAGTCACAACTGCTGGAGCTGAGCCGATCTGAAGCTAGGAGCCCCAGACTTTTCGGGTCTCCCACGTGGGTCCAGGGTCCCAAGGTTTTGGGCTGTCCTCGATTGCTTTCCCAGGCCACAGGCAGGGAGTTGAATGGGAAGCAGGGCCGCTGGGGTTAGAACTGGTGCCCATATGTTATCCTGGCATTTGCAAGGCAAAGTCTTTAGCCACTAGGCTACCATGCTGGGCCTAAAAATAGTTATTTTTTTATTGGAAAGACAGATATACAGAGAAAAGGAGAGACAGACAGAAATAATTCTGACAGTTTAACTTACCAAGCAGCTGCAACAGATGGAGCTGAGTGGATCCGAAGCCAGGAGCTAGGAGGTTCTTCTGGGTCTCTTATGTGGGTATAGGGGCCTAAGGATTTGAACTGTCCTCAACTGCTTTTCCAGGCCACAAGCAGGAAGCTTTTGGGAAGCAAGGCAGTTGGGACACAAACTGATGGCTATATGGGATTCTGGCACGGTTAAGACGAGGACTTCAGCCAGTATGCTACTGTGCCAGGCCCACAACTTGGTAATTTTAAATTGCTTCCAAGTGTAAACATTAAGGACATTACAGTCATGGATCGTAATCCTGACCCTGCATTAATTGGCTGCCTGGGTTTAGGAAATTTTCTTAAACTCTCTGCAACTCTGTTTTCTCATCTCTAAAATGGGAATTATAAATACAAACCAAGAGGCTGCTAAGATTTTTATTTGCTAAGACAGAGGGAATAATTTTGGAGTTACAATTGGAGTTTGGGTGTTTTGTTTTTTACTTGTTTGAGAGGTAGAGACCAAGATCAATCCATCTGTTGGTTCATTCTTCAAATGCCCACAATGGCCCGATGTAAGCCAGGCTGAAGCCAGACACCAGCAACTAACAGGTCTTACCTGGTGGCCAGGTCCATGGCCGCCACCTGCTGCTCACACGGTCTGCAATAGCAGGAAGCTGGAATTGAAAACAGTGTTGGTACGTGAACTAAGGCACAGTGATTAGCAAAAGTGGCCATCCCGAATGGCATCTTGACCTATCCTGGATTTAGGGAATTTAAACATGACAGTGATAACATTTTTGTAATAAGGGTATCGGATAGGTACTAGTTGTAGCACCAATTTCAGCCCTTTTGCTGGCGGTTTAATCTTGATTCTACCTGTTGAGCATTTTTACTACAGCTTTGGCCCCAGCCAGGCTTCAGTAAGGAAAGATCTGAGTAGGCCACTGTGCGTCCTACACAAGCCTTGTTGAGTAAAATTGTGTTCCTTTTCACTATGGTTAATTATGGGAACAAGATAAGGGTGGCAGAATGCCTCTCTGGTGGGGCCCCTCTTTGTATTGTACGCACGTGCTGGTGAGAGCTGGGACTTGGGGCATGGCCAGTCTGGGACAGGCCATGCCAGATCGGGCTGCAGTGCCCCCTGGCAAGTGTAAGATCTGTAGCTGGGAGGGGCCTGATAGCGGAACTGTGGGGCACTGTCCTATTAGGTTGTAGCTGCTGCTGGTGAGCATGAGAGCCAATGCTGGGGGCAGGCAAGACTGGGTAAGGTGACAGCACCTCTTGGCATACATGTGGGCCAGGCTGAGCCAAGCCACACCACCCATGGATGTGCATGACAGCCAGAGGGAATGCAGAACAACTTGGGCAATAATACATGCCAGCACACACAAAAACCAGGGTTGGTGGCAGGTTTGGTGGGAGCTTTGGGATCACCCCAACTAGGCCAAGGCACCTACTGGTGTGTAATGACCGGGCCTGTGGAAAGGTGAGCTGGGCCAGGCTACAGCACCCATCAGTTCATGTGAGATGGGGCTGGAGGCAGAGCTGACCAGCCAGCTGAACCTATCAGTATACACATTTGCTGATGTAGGTAATAGGTCAAACCTCACCCTGCACTGGCTGGCACCAGATCAATGGACTCAAACCCTGGCCACAGGGAAAAATCACAAAATATGTGGTCCCACCTTGGAGTGTATGTATCAGGACAGGACCTCCTCAGCTGGTGATGCCTGTGCAATGGACAGCATGGCCAAAAGAACACAGAAGACGTGACAGTCAACTCGTCTAGGCCAGCAGGGGAAGTCAAGGGCATCATCACAGGATGGACAGTAGAACAGGTAGGGCTACTCTCCTGGCCAAGCTTTGCAACATGTTCCTGGGTCTGTAGATGTACTAAGGTGGACTTGGTCAGCCAATGGACCTTGGAAAGATTTTCTCAAGCCCGGTGCAATGAAGCACCAAAACATCTGAAAACCATCAAAATCACTACATCTCAGAACCACCAAAATCACTCCAGTAAAACCCTTGGAACATTCTTCCCCATATCTGGGTCTCTAGGGTGTCATCAAATGACTGACCACCATTCCTGGGTGCTGTTGTGGTTTGACAGCAAAGAGCAACCTCTCTTCCTCCTGCTGTGGAGGCAGAAAAGGGAAAAACCCCCCGAAGCATCTGTCCCACCTACCTTTCTCCATGCCTAGACCCTCTCCACCCTAACCAGAGGCCAGATGGGCGTGTATTCCTCTCAACTATGTAAATAATATTAAAAATAAAACGGGAATGAGAATGGTCCTCTTAAAAATATATTTATTATTTTTATTGGAAAGATTTACAGAGAGGAGAGACAGAAAGATCTTCCAACTGTTAGTTCACTTCTCAAGTGGACACAACAGCTGGAGCTGAGCCAATCCGAAGCCAGGAACCAGGAGCTTCTTCTGGGTCTCCCACAGGCTGGTGCAGGGTCCCAAGGCTTTGGGCCATCCTTGCCTGCTTTCCCAGGCCACAAGCAGGAAGTGGAGCAGCCAGAACATGAACTGGCGTCCACCTGGGACCCCAGTGCCTGTAAGGTGAAGGTTTAGCCACTGGCCTACCACACAGGGCCCGAGAATGATATTCTTTACAAAAATCATATTTTACTATATGTTGCTTTCAAAGGTTTTGCTTTTTTATTTATATATATATATATTTTTTTTAAGATTTCCTTTATTTGAAAAGCATGGTTCTAGAGAGGGAAGGCTAGACAGAAAGAGATTTCCATCTGCTGGTTCACTCCCCAAGTAGCTACAGTGGTTGGGACTGGACCAGGCAAAAGCCAGGAACTTGGAACTCCATCTGGGTCTCCGGCATGGGTGGCTGGAAGGGCTGTCTTCTGCTTTCCTTGGCACATTAGCAATGGGCTGCATGGGAAATGAAGCAGGGGCAACTCCAACTGTCTCATGATATGTCACAACACAAGTCCCTCAAAGCTTTTTTTTCTTGAAGAAGTAAAACAAAGATGATATTTGCTTCCAGTTCTAAACTTCTCTAAAGATTTCTTTAAATAACACATCTTAGTACTGTTCCACTCATACTGAATTGGAATTTCAAAAAATGTTTGGATTTTGAGAATTCTTATGTATGGTAACTGAGCTTCCTACTGTTAAAGTGTTTTGGTTCCTTTATTACTGTTAAAGTGTTTGGTTCCTTTATTAGGGGTCTAATGCAGTAGCCTGGTGGCTAAAGTCCTCTCTTTGCATGTGGCAGAATCCCATGTTCCTATTCATATGTCAGTTCCTATTCTGGCTGCTCCACTTCCATCCAGCTCCCTGCCTGTAGCCTGGGAAAGCAGTCAAGGATGGCTCAAGGCCTTGGAGTCCTGCACTGTCATGGGAGACCTGGAAGAGGTTCCTGGCTTCGGACGGCTCAGCAATGGCTATGATAAGGTCACTTGGGGAGTGAATCATCACACGGAAGATCTTCCTTTCTGTCTCTCCTCCTCTCTGTATATCTGACTTTCCAATAAAAAAAAAAACAAGTCTAAAAAAAATTACACCTGCCAAATTCTAATTTGGGGGGAACACCGAGTTTCCTAAAGCTCTGTGCTGATTTTCGTGTGTAGATACTGTTGAGAGCCCCTGCTCAAGGCAAAAATATTATACCACCTTTTTTTTTCCCTTTATAGGTTGAATAAAAACAAGCGACTGTTTAACAAAGGAATTAAGTAGTGATACGTAATATCAGTAAGGAATGAAAAGATTTTTCTCAACGGGAAGTCAGGCACAATGGGATGGAATTGTGGCTCTAGAAATCAGAGTCCAACAGGACAATCCGAGAGGCCCTCTCAGCTGTCCTCAGTGTAGCCCTGCTTACCCACCGACTCATCAAGACGGAAGGCGGACAGCGGCTGGCATTGCACTAGCGGTTGTTTTCCTATTTGGAGGTGATAAGACAGGTATGCAATTGTTCCTGCTGATGTGAAAGAAGAAGTTTGTCGTGCTACTAAAGTAATTTCAGAGTAATTGTTTTCCAGGAGTCCCTCTGCTTCTCTTGCTCTGTACGTTTATTACCTGGTAACTTTAGGCTCATAGTTGATTGTTGGTGGATTTAATGCATTCCTGTGGGGAGAAGGCTGACATACTTAAAAGTAAAGTTTATAGATCCTCTGTGGATTTTAGTTTTTTGGTAAATTAATATCTCCTTTAGAGTAGATAGCTTTTTTTTTTTTTAAGCTTTATTTTTATTGGAATGACAGATTTACAGAGAGGAGAGACAGAGAAAGATCTTCTGTCTGCTGGTTCACTCCCTAAACGGCCGTAACAGCCGGAACTGCACTGATCTGTAGGCAGGTGACAGGAGCTTCTCTGTGGTCTCTCACATGGATGCAGGGTCCCAAGACTTTGGGCCACCCTCTCCTGCTTTTCCAGGCCATAAACATTGAGCTTGGTGGGAAGTGGAACAGCAAGGACACGAACCGGCACCTATAAGGATCCTGATGCTTGCAAGGTGAGGATTTAGCCACTGAGCCATTGTGCCAGGTCCTAGCATGGATAGTTAAGAAATTCCTGTCAAAAAAATTCATTCTGCATCATAGTGTATAATACAGCTCTCATTTCTGTGAATTACCTGAGTTTTATCATCAAAACTCTTAAAACTAAAATCACAACATTTATGTAACATTTATTTTGTATGGCATTTAGCTATAAAGAATGCTTGAAACAGTTGTTACTTATATAAAATCATTTTATAAAACAAAATCATACACAATAATCCTCAATGAATTTAGCTTACATTGCAAAATTCAGAATATCTGATATTCTACTTCCCAGTTCACTGCTATCTCCCTGGGCTGTCTTAGGTAGAATGATATACATTTCTGTGCCTCAGTTTCTTTAACTCTCACTTGGGATAACTATTCCATAGAGATGTAATGAACAACAGAAATGTATTAAATACTTTGCAAATATAAAGTGCTATATGAGTGATAAGTAGTAATATCCAATCTATCCTAGTGTAACACACAACCTTCCTTTACCATGTCCAGCGTGGTGTCCTGCTCCTATTATTACTGTGAGCTATCCCAGTTGGGCATCTCTTACGGAGCTCTACTGCCTCAGTGATTGTCCATACTGTTACCCGGAGGATTGGAAACTTATCGTCTAAAACCAATATAAGTGGAAATTTCAGTATTTCTTAGCACAACTTGGCAAATGACTTTCACGAATTGATTTCTAAACACATAAATAATGAAGCCACCGAAGTGTTTTCACCCACTGAGCAGCAGCTTGGCCACGTAAAAAGCAGCAACATGATTGTCAATTGTACCTCTTCATCAAAATGTGAAAGATTATTTCTCCAAAGGTCTTGACAGCTTGATAACTACAGAAGGAACATCTTATGCTAAGAGCGTGATTCCCTCACCTTCGGTGATCGGCTCGCCAGCGCAGGCCCAGGCGGGAGACTGCTGAAACTCTGAAAAGGAATTCAAGGTGGCTAGTGCCATGGTTTTCAAGGTCCTGCGGAAGTATCTGGGGACAGCCTGATCCAGAGCAGCTCTGATTTTACAGTTTCTCTCTTGGATGTTGAACAATCATTTGAAGACTTCTGGGGCTGAGAAAGAATCCCTTCGGCTGCTGACTGGTCCATGTTGCCTCCTCCGGAGACCAGACTTGGCTGCACAGTACTTTCTTTTTGTAAAACTTCAGCACACTGCCTCATTCTCTTGAGGACCACAGAGTCAGAAGGGTATTCTGAAGCTGATAAAAAAAAGCATTCTGTAGGAGCAAAATTTGGTCTAACCAACTATTACATCCTTGATGTAAATGAAGAAACAAACAAAAAATGCTTTTGCATAAATGAAGCTTATTTAAACAGATTATACCCAATAGGCTGCACTTTTCCCACAATCACAAGTCAAAGAATTCTATCTTTTCAGGAATCATCAGTAGACAATGACTGGTTTCTCAAGTCTTAGACATGACATGATGACCGGCGTCATTATTTACAACTTACAAGTACATCTTTAAGTACTCTTCTATGATGCTAGCATGGTAAAACACATAGCTGTCTGTCTCAGGCTTGCTGGATACTTTGTTGTGTCAACAATTACAAGGAAGTTCTGAAAAGGTAATTGCAAGAGCCAGCTTGGCATCGAGTTGAGCGGACTTTGCTGATGCTCATGTTGATGTGTGCATGGTTTGCATGCAGAGGAGAACAGCATCGAAACACCCAGACAGCCTAGAGCATCAGAAAGCACACGAGCAAGCAGCGCTTGATTTCTATGAATAAAGCTCGAATCAGGTGGTTCTGACAATTAAAAATCAAGTTATCTTTTTGAAAGGTGTATCACTCTAGTAGGACTGCAGAATGGCAAATATTTCCTCCATTATTTGGATACAGCTTAATTCAGAATCCTGATTTAGGGAATGCTCGTGTTGGGAGAACAATGAACTCAACGCATACCAGGTAGGCTTGAGACAACTTGGAAACGTGGCATCGAGGGGAACTTGAGAAAAAGTCCTTGCAGTATTGTAAAAGTCAGTGATTATTCATCTATTTACAATAAAATTTAGAACAGTATTAACCATTTTAGACCAATTCAGACTAATAAGAGAAAATATTAAAACAAAGGTGTCCTTATGCTGTGACATTGCAAGGTACAGATTAATACAGGGTAGGGAGTCTGTATCACAAATTACGTCAAATTCATTGCAATAACTTGCAGAGACCTTCATGAAGTTCATTCTTGGTACTTTGTCATCTTTAGAAATAAATAACACCTTTCCAATTTAGCTGTAAGTTTGGAATGTGTCATAATTCATACAGGGAAGGAGTTTAAACTTTATATCCTGAGGAAAAAGTTGGTTTGGAAAAGATAAATAAGCAAAAATGCTTAATGTATTTTAAAGAATAATTTATTCAAACAGTTTTATATTTAAAGTTAACATATAAATAATGTCATGTAATATGTATCAATAGGTAGAAGAACATTACTTAACAATATCTGAATAACTCTAGATCAGACATTATATATTGTTTATGAATAAATTCTTTCTGACTTTCTGATTCAGGTTGGCTTATTTTTGTAATTATTGCAGATTTGTGACTTTAATTCTTTGCCATTTTAGGAGATATTCATGGGATAGACATTTGAAAAAGGATTATTTAAAATCAGAAACTGCTTTGGGCTTTCACTGTGCAACAATAAATTAAGCCAGAGCCCACCCTGCTGACATTCTTTAAGGGTGCTGGTTCAAGTCTTGGCTGTTGCACTTCCAATCCTGCTTCCTGCTTATTCACCTGGGAAGGCAGCATAAGATGGCCTGTGTCCTTGGGCCCCTGACACCCATGTGGGAAGGTGTTCCTGACTCCTGGTTTCAGCCTGGTGCAGCCCTGGCTACTGTGGCCATTTGCGAATTGTACCAGTGGATGGAAGATCTCTGAATCTCCCTCTCCTGGTAATCCTGCCTTCCAAATAAGCACACAAATCTCAAAAAACCCAGAATCTGTCTAGCCATCAATTTTGCTGCTCAAACCTTCTGATTTCAATTTTTTGTTTGTAAATCAGAGGATATCTACCTCACTGATAACTGAAAAAAATACACGAGAGTACTAGTACTTCATAAATAACAGAGTACTGCACAAATGTCAAAAACTATGCTTAGAAACTAGTATAAATCTTTTCCCCCTCTGGAGAGCAAGGGAAATATCAGACAGATCCTCACAAGCTACCTGGAGTTCTAAAAGGCAGTATTGGTTTCTGGATTTAGCAAAGTGATATGTGTATACAATGTGTGGTCAACCTCCACTTTTTTTTTTTTCTAACGATACTGTCCACATCACAGTAACTTTTAAATTAATGACAACAATTCAAATCTGTGTGATACAGGACATTTTAGATCTTCTGCCATAATTCTGAAACATTTAGGATACAGGAATAATGCTTTATTGTTTCAAATCTGATACTAATAGGAAAACATAGTAGTTGAGGCAGGTGGGCTGCCAGATCCTTAGAAGTACTCTTTCCTGGCTCCTTGTAGAATTCAGCCTTGATGTGATATATATTTTTGAAATACCCTGAAGTTATGTTACATGAAATCCAGGTATGATAAACTTATTGAAAATATTTTCTTAAAAAAAAATGTTTGCTTAATGGATCTTTCAATAATAAATGAAAAAAAAGCTATCTTTGTGATAAAAGCAAAATAAGAAAAGTAAGAGGCTAACCCATCATCCATCATGCCAACTCAAAGTAGGTCTTTCTTCTCAGTGCAGCAACATATTGTAGGGCAACAAAGTTCAGAATGGATACAACGGTCTGTTCAGAAAGCATGCAAGTTACATCATCAGATCATTCCTTTTGAAGTCAGTGAGATACACTTGTTCACTCCACTCTGACCCTGGGAAGAGAGAGATACACAGAGTCGGCGTGGTGGCACACATGCCCAGCTCTGCTGGTGCCCACGATGGCTACCTAATGTTGGGCTTGACTTCCTTTTCTTCCTCTTCTTCTTCACTATCATCAACCTGCTGGATGACCAGATCTGCCGACCCATCCTCCACGATCTCCACATAGGACTTGTTCTCCTCTTCGCCCAGGTGCCACCTGCCCTCCTTCTCTCCCTCTGCTGTGGACAGCAGATGCTGCTCCGTCTCCAGATCCATGGGGAGGCTGTCTATACCCACGTCAGCCAGGCACTCATTACACAGTCTGTAACGCCGGGTTCCTTCCTGCACCACCTGTCCTGTCACTTCAGTCACATGGCGCTTGCATTTTCTGCAGATGAGTTTGCAGGCCTGGTGGATCTGTGCGGAAATTGAAATGGGAGTTAAGAAAAAAAAAAAAAAGGACAATTCAAAAGCAGGAGTTTGATACATCAGGTATCAGTACCAATTTAAGATGTTCAAAGCTGTGCATTAAACTCAACATCTAATTATTACAGAAAGATCATAGGTTTTATAAACATGTCTATACTGGTTTTATTATTTATTTTCATAAGATTTATTAATTTATCTATTTGAACGGCTTAGAGATAAAGAGAAATCTCCCATCTGCTTGTTCACTTCCTAGAGGGCTGTAACAGTCATGCCTGGGTAAGGCCAGAGCCAGAAGCCAGGAACTACATCCTCGGATCACCCACGGGGGTGGGAGGGATCCACAAACAATCATCTGCTAACTCTCAGCTGTGTTAGCAGGGGACTGGATAGAAAGAGAGTAGCAGGGACTTGAGCTGGCACCAAGCTTTGGAATGCCAGTGTCACAACACTGGTCTGTGATTTTATCATTAATATCATAGACTATGTAATTTCATATAACCTTTAGCCCAACAGTATTTTTAAAAGAGATTTATTTTTATTTTAAAGGTCAGAGTTACAAAGAGAGAAGAGAAGGAAAGGTATCGTCCATCTACTGGTTCATCCCTCAAACTGCCACAACAGCCTTAGCTGACCTGATCCAAAGCCAGGAGCCAGAAGCATCTTCTGGGGCTCCCGCATGGGTGTAGGGGCCTAAGGACTTGAGCCATCTTCCGCTGCATTCACAGGCCATAACCTGGGAGATGGATTGGAAGTGGAGCAACTGGGACTCAAACCAGCACCCATATGGGATTCTGGTGCCACAGGCAGAAGCTCAGCCTTCTAGGTCATAGTGCCAGCCCCAATCCAATAGTATTTGGATATATGAAGTACCTAATGGTTACATTCCCAAGACAATAATAATTACAAACACTTTCTCTGTACCATGAACTACTGTGCTAAGAACTTCATGTATTTTAGTTTGAGGGGGAAAAAAAATCTCTTGCTTGCAAGGCAGGGGAATTTTCTTATTTCATCAGAGAAAGAAAATATATTATCAGAAATCATAATTTACCACAAATATTTATTAAAAGTCACAAATAAAGGGAGAGAGCAAAACCTATCCCTGGTTCACTTCCCAAATGGCTGCATCAAGTGAGGCTGGGCCAATCCTAAGCCAAGAGCCTGGAATTCTATCTGGGTTTCCTAACACATGAGCCATCTTTTGTTGCTTTTTTGGGTGCATTAGCTGAGAACTGGACTGGAAGTGGAGCAGCTGAGACTTGAACAGGCATTCACATGGGATGCTGGTGTCTCAGCTAGGGACTTCCACTGGCTGGCCCTTCTCTGTATTTATGGATGGAAGGATCACTCGTCATCTTTATTAACATATGGTCTGATAGAAAGAGGACCATAGGGCACATGCTTCTTGGACTGCCCTATCCCATATCAAAGGGCCTACTTTTGAGTCCTGGCTGTGTTTCCCATTCCAGCTTCCAGTGGGAGACAATAGTGATGGGTTGAGTATCTGAGTTCCTGCCATCCCCGTGGAAGACAAGGATGGAGTCGTCTGGGCTCTTAGCTTTGGCCTGGCCCAGACCCAACTACTATGAACATTTGGTGAGGGCAATCAGTAGATGAATGCTCACTCTCTTTTTCTTTTCCTCTGTTTCTCCCCTTTGTCTGTTACATATTGTATTCTTACTTTTACCTCTATTTTTAAAAAAGATTTATTTATTTTTATTTAAAAGTCATCTTTGGTGCTGGCACAAAAGCTCAACAGGACAATCCTCTACCCTGAGGCACTGGAGTCCCATGTGGGCACTGGTTCATGTCCTGACTGCTCCACTTCTGATACAGCTCCTTGCTTGTGGACTGGGAAAACAGTGGAGGATGCATCAAGTCCTTGGGCCCACGTACCTACATGGGAGACCTGGAGGAAGCTCCTGGCTCCTGGCTTTGCATTCGCTAAGTTCTAGTCATTGTGGCTATTTGGGGAATGTACCAGTGGATAGAAGATCTTTCTCTCTGTCCTTCTCTCTTTAAGTCTGCCTTTCCAATAAAAACATGAAATAGATTTGGAAAAATACCAGTTTTATGACATTAGCAAAGGCAGAGAGTTTGTCTTTTGGGCTCACTACCATATACCTATCCATACAGAAAAGGATCTGGCCCATGGTAGCTGCTCAATATGTACTTATTCTATTAGTAACTGTAAATCAGTGCATGAAACACCACTAAAATAATTCTTTTGTTTTTAAAGATTTATTTATTTTTATTACAAAGTCAGATATACAGAGAGGAGGAGAGACAGAGAGGAAGATCTTCCGTCTGATGATTCACTCCCCAAGTGAGTGCAATGACCAGTGCTGTGCCGATCCGAAGTCAGGAACCAGGAACTTCTTCCAGGTCTCCCACACGGGTGCAGGGTCCCAAAGCTTTGGGCCATCCTCCACTGCTTTCCCAGGCCACAAGCAGGGAGCTGGATGGGAAGTGGAGCTGCCAGGACTAGAACGGGTGCCCATATGGGATTTCGGTGCATTCAAGGCGAGGACTTTAGCCACTAGGCCACCGTGCCGGGCCCCTAAAATAATTTTTATCAATAGGATAGACTTTGGAAAAAATTTTGCAGCAAGGTGCACAGCAAAACAATTCATTTCATGGTCTTACGAAACCACCAGGGCACTGAGTAGCAAGCACCCTGAAGCTTGTCTGATGGCTGACAGTCCGGGAGAGGAGTGGTTCAATGGCTCATCAAAAGTCCCTTCCCCTTGGGGACCAGAGATAAATATGAGAGAAACCAGGCGGGATGCAGTGGAGAAAGGCCAGAGAGCAGCAACTGGAATGAAATGCTACCAGAGAAAGATGCACTAATCCCTGGTAGGGGGTTGGTGACTGTGGCAGAGCCGGTAAAGCCGCTGCCTGGGATGCCAGCCTCCCATATGTGCTGGGGTCCGTGCAGTAGGTGTGAATAAGACAAAGGTGTGAGGAGAACAGCTCCCTGCTTAGCAGGGCCTGGGGAGCTTCCAGCTGTTGGGCAGGGCCTGGTGGATTTCTCTCTGACCACCGTGACACAGTTTCACCCTTTTTCGCATGGACACTCAACCACCCCACTACGAATTTTGTAATCTATTGAGGCATTGTTTGCTCCTGGGAGATGGCTTTTACAACCAACATGAGCTTAGGAGTTAATGTTACTGATAATGTCTTGGTGAGTGGGCCTTTAACTGCACACAGGAATACAATTAAGCCCATGCTGTTTCTGGACACCTTATTGTGTGCCTACCCATTGCTCTGAAATCTGGCCCAAACATTTAGCATGCTTTCTGGGAAATGGTTTGATAAGAATTTTACAAACTAATGGAAGTGATGAGAGTATGGGCTGAAACTGCTATGACAAAAAATATAGCTACTGGGACCCTAAAAGCTATCCTGTTACTGTGACCCTAAAGGCTATCCTGCTATGGCAAAAATATAGTTACTGTGACCTTAAAGGTTAGCCTGTCCTTGCAACTCTTTAGAACAGAGTAAATGTAGTTGCTTTGGCTGCCTTCATAATTTTTTAACTAGAGGAAATATAGGGTGATTTTACTAACATCATGTATACTTTTGATTATTGTTTAATCATTTATGAGGTTGTAGAACCTGCAGTTGTAGAGGGATTTAATGTTTGAAAGTTTTTGTCTTAAATCTTTATGTTTTTTTCTCTTTTGATGTATTTCTCTCATTAAGTGATGGATAAGTTGTAGAGTAAGAATTGTAGTAGGAATATATTACTGAATAAGATGTGTCATCTACTGAGAAATTTTTGGCTGCAACATCAGAATGGATAACGCCCTGTCTTAAAGTGAAACTATTTGTAGAATTATCTTTGGAAGCATTCACTTGCCCATTGTAGAGTTGAAACTTAAATGGAGTAAACATGGCTCACTGCTAATTACAATTCTTTCCATTGTCATATCTCATGCTTTACTTGTTTAGTTAACAAACTGTGTGAGCTTGCAGGCCTAATGGCCTTTAGTGCCAGTGGCCCCTAATCCCCATAAACCAAGACCCCAGACTTACTAACCCATACATAATTCAAAGCAGGGGTCTGGTTGTCACAGGTGTGCCAAGGATAGAACCCAGACTTGAGGAGAGCAGGTGGGAGCTGGCAAGCTGAGATAAGCAAGGAATGTGGAATCCTTCCTCACTCACCTCTCAAGCTGTTGTAAATTGTGCCCCTTCTTGAAGCTATGTGAAATTGCCCTAAAAGAAAACCATGTACTGTTTCTGTATAAATAAAGCAGACAGCTTCTCGCATGGTCCACAATGATCATGGAATCCTAGTGGTCCGTCTCTCTTCTTTCTACGCCTATTTCATGCACCCTTCTCGAGCTCCGAACTCAGCTGCAGCTGGACTCCAGCACATAGGAGTGCTACTGCTGCTCCACTTCTGATCCAGCTCTATGCTAATGGTCTGGGAAAAGCAGAGGATGGTGGTCCACGTATTTAGGCCCTGCTACCTCTGTGGGAATGGGGATTCTCCTGGCTCCCGCTTTGGCCTGGCCCACCTCTGGGCACTATGGCCATCTGGAGAATGATCCAGCGGATAGGAGATCTTTCTCTGTCTCACACTTTCTTTCTGTAACTGACTTTGAAAATAAAAAAATCTTAAAAAAAAATTCCTAATAGATGCTGACCTAGACTAAAACCTGTGTAGCTAAGGCTCTGAACAGACCAATACCTAAGAATTCAGTAGGTTTTGTGTGAATTAAATTGGAAACATAAAATGATTTATCATTGGGAAACTATTCCTGACTTCACATTCTCAAAGGAGAACTTAGAATACCTATGTCATATTCAAATACACACATGAGATGTGCTATGTGCAAGGCAAGTATCTAGAGTCGTATGAAAAGCATTCACTCAGAAAGCTAGATTATCCTAAAGCAGATGAATGGATGTGTTTCTAAAGAAATGCAATGATGACAAATTGCATACGCACTGTTCGAAAATGGCTACTCAGATGGTCCAGCCGGCTGAATCTTTTCCCACAAGCTTGGCACGGATAGGGCCTCTCCCCTGTGTGGCAGCGAAGGTGGCGCTTGAGGTCTGCTTTCCGCTTGACCACGTGAGTGCAGTAGGAGCACTTGAACCGCATCCGGGGCAGGTCATCTGTCAGGAGACAGTTCAGTTAAGTCACTGGAACCCTCAAAGGGACTACTCTAACCACAGGAAGAATCCAAAAGGAGCTGGATTCTTGGCCACTTTTGGTAAGGAAGGAGAAAAGGAGGAGACAGGTATTTAAGATAAGATTGTCCGTGGGCCCGGCGCGGTGGCGCAAGTGGTTAAAGGTCCTCGCCTTGCACACCCGGGATCCCATATGGGCGCCGGTTCTAATCCCGGCAGCCCCGCTTCCCTTCCAGCTCCCTGCCTGTGGCCTGGGAAAGCAGTCGAGGACAGCCCAAAGCTTTGGGAACCTGCACCCATGTGGGAGACCCGGAAGAGGCTCCTGGCTTCGGACCAGCATAGTATCGGCCCGTTGCGCTCACTTGGGGAGTGAATCATCAGATGGAAGATCTTCCTCTCTGTCTATCCGCCTTTCCAATGAAAAAATAATAAAAATAAAAATCTTTAATAAAAAAAATTTAAAAAAAGATAAGATTGTCCGTGAATCCAGGGAGTAGAACAGTCACTTTAGTTTTTCATGTCAAGTCTGGTGAATTCTGACCTCCATACTTACCTGTTCCCCCAAAGCAGTAGGGACAGTCCAATGGCTCAATTGGTGCATCCTCCCTTAAAAGAACCAGGATCCCATGTGGGTGCCGGTTCATGTCCCAGCTGCTAAGCTTCCTGTCTAGCTCCCTGTTTATGGCCCAAAGCCTTGCGACCCTGCACCCGTTGGGAGAACTGCAAGAAGCTCAGATAAGCACAACCCCGGCCGTTGTGGCCAATTAGGGAGTGAATCAGCAGATGAATGATTTTTCTCTCTGCCTTTCCAAAAAAAAAAAAGTATTTTTACAAAATAATACTAAATTTTAAGACTGTAGATATTATCTAACATAAAAGCATTAATATTCAGAAAAAAATAATTTATTTGAAAGACAGAATGAAAGCCAGAGAGGAAGAGACATTTGGTTTACCCTTCAGACGGCTGTAACAGCCAGGGCTATGATGTCTGCAGCCAGCAACTGCACTGGGTGTCCCATGCGAGTGGCCAGAGCCCAAGCACTTGGGCCATCATCTGCTGCTTCCAAGGAGCTTAAGCAGGACGCTGGGTCAGAATAGCCAGGTCTCGGGCCTGGCATGATAGCCTAGTGGCTAAATCCTCATCTTGCATGCACCAGGATCCCATATAAGTACCGGTTCGTGTCTTGGCTGCTCTGCTTTCCATCCAGCTCCCTGCTTACGGTCTGGGAAAGTAGTGGAGGATGGACGCTGTACCCATGTGCAAGCCAGGAGAACTCCTGGCTTCAGGTCAGCTCAGCTCTGGCCATTGTGGCCACTTGGGGAGTGAACCAGCATTACTATTGTTTTTTTTTTTTAAGAATAAGAATGGCAGGGCCCAGCACGATGGCGCAGTGGTTGGGGTCCTCACCTTGCACGCCAGGGATCCCATATGGGCGCCGGTTCTAATCCCGGCAGCCCCGCTTCCCATCCAGCTCTCTGCCTGCGGCCCGGGAAAGCAGTCGAGGATGGCCCAAGGCTTTGGGACCCTGCACCCGCGTGGGAGACCCAGAAGAGCACCTGACTCCTGGCTTTGGATTGGCTCAGCTCCAGCTGTTGTGGTCACTTGGGGAGTAAACATCAGATGGAGGATTTTCCTCTGTATTTCCTTCTCTCTGTATATCTGCCTTTCCAGTAAAAATAGATAAATCTTTAAAAAAAAAAAAAAAAGGATGGAGAGACACAGAAAGATCTTTCAACTACTATTCACTCCCCAAATGGCTACAATACACCCACATGGGTGCAAGATCCCAAGGACGTGTACTTGGGGCACCTTCTACTCTTTTCCCAGGCTACAAGAAGCAAGCTTGATGGGGGCTGGAATAGCTGGGACATGAACCAGAGCCCATATGGGATGCTGGCACTTGCAAGGGCAGGATTAGCCAACTGAGCCATTGTACCAGGCGCACAAGCAATATTATTTTAAAATGATCAAGCTACATCATCGTCATTTTACTACTATCCTAAGTAAAACATCTTATCTCATATTGTTGCACACTGGCTCACTGTAGAATTAAAGAATCAGTGTTAGAGATTGTTTATTACATTTTTCAGGTTCTAAATTTCTCAATAAACATTCTCCTTTAGGGAATACTTACAAAACTAAGATGCAAATACATGTGTTTTACATTGGACCATTTAGAAAAGAGCTCTAAACTCTTATGAGTATCCAATCACCCACACACAGAGGTTCGGAAAATCATGGATCTTGAGCTTCAGTACTCTATTATTACTATTATTATTATAGATTTATTTATTTTTATTGCAAAGTCAAATTTACAGAGAGGAGAGACAGAAAGATAGATCTTCCATCTACTGGTTTATTCTCCAAGTGGCCACAGGCTTTGGGCCGTCCTCATCTCCTTTCCCAGGCCACAAGCAGGAAGCTGGAAGGGAAATGGAACAGCCAGGATATGATCCAGCGCCCGTATGGGATCCTGGTGCGTGCAAGGTGAGGACTTTAGCTGCTAGAATACTGTGCCAGACCCAGGACTCTGTTATTTTGACTGTTGTTACATTTATCCGTTGTTGTTTTTAATTAAAATGCCCCAGAAACACAAGGAGGAAACAGAAAATTTGGAAAGAATGATCATACCCACTTTTCCCTAACTCTCAATCTTTCCCACCCTGATAACTAAGTAAACATCATCAAAGATAAAACAAAACAAAAAAAATCACAAAAATTTGTTCAAGTTCTATGAAACTAAACTTACTACGAAAGCAGAAATTAAAAAAAAAATCGCCACTGTTGCGGTATTCAGGTTAAGTTGCCGCCTCCATATCAGTGCTGGCTCAAGTCCCAGTAGATCCAATTCCTCCTCTTTTTTTTTTAAAAAAAAAGATCAATTTATTTTTTATTTGAAAGACAAATTTTACAGAGAAAGAGGGAAAGACGGAGAGAGAGAAAGATCTTCTATCCAGTAGTTCACTTCCCCAAATGACAGCAGCAGTCAGAGCTGCACTGATTCAGAGGTGAGAGCCAGGAATTTCTTCTGGGTCTCCCAAATGGCTACAGGGTCCCAAGGACTTAATCCATTCTCTACTGCTTTCTGAGGCTACAAGCAGGAAACTGCATGGGAAGCAGAACAGCTGGGACGCAAACCAGGACAAAAGATGAGATGCCAGTGCCACAGCACACAGGAGTAGCTTGATGTGCCACCATGCCCAGCTGATCCACTTTTGATCCAGCTACCTGCTAATGTGCCTGGAAAGCAGCAGAGGATGGCCCAAGTCCATGGGTCCCTGTACTCATGTGGGAGACCCAGAGGAAAATTCTGGCTCCTGATTTTGATCTGACCATTGTGGACATTTATGGAGTGGACTGAAAATATCGCTCTGCTTCCTCTTTGTAACTCTGCCTTTCAAATAAAATAAATCTTTAAAAAAAAATTACGTGGTTCAATTGCTGATAATATCTAAATTTGAGAGTATTTTGAGCCAGGATTGATTTTATGGCTACTTAAAAAGTTCATGGAAAGAATATACCCTGAAAGGGCTATGCATAGATTTTCAATTACTTTTCAATTAGCTATCTTCTAATTCCATTTTGCCAAAACCATTTTGAACAACCACTGTGGAGAAGTGTGGAACCTGGTTGAGAGGTGTTAGGCTTTTTAGGTACCTGAAAAACTTCTGGATATGACATCAGATCCTTGACCGTACTGATAGCCAACAGGAGTAGTGTCCAGTTCAGCATCAATTGGTGCTTGTTCTTCTGACTGGGAAACATGACTGGCAGAATCGGAGGTCCGGGTTTCTTGATTGCTTGACTTAAAATGAGCAACGTCAGAGGGCTGTGACAGTCGCAAATGTTTGCTCTTTTTAATGGCATCTTTCCTTTGTTCATGCTTGGCCAATGGTGGCTGAGTATTCCTTTGGGATACTGGGTGGTAATTATACGGACTCCAAGGTTTTCCACCTACCGTGCCTGCTCCTTGCTCTGGGGTTAGATGAGTGTGTGGAGAAGTGCTTTCTTCTTGCCAGCCACTGCTATAGAAAGAAGACCGCTCTGTGCCGTTGGATTGGGCATCTTTATCTGAGAGGCTGAAATAGCGATCTTTTTCCTTCTCACTGATGTCCAGGGAAGATTTAATAAAAGTCTTGCACACACTAATGACGTCGGTCATCTGAAGGAAGCTGGCGGCCGACATCACCTCTATGACGTTCTGCCCTGTAAGAGACAATCTGCCCGAATAGACGAAGTCCAGGATGACCGTGAAAGTGTCTGGGGAGAAGGCCTGGAAGGTGGCGGTGGTCGGCTGGCTCGTCTCCTTGGAGTTCTGAGAAAGCAGCATCTTGAAATAGCCGCTGCTGGCAAACAGCACGTTGCGATGAGCTTTGAAGACTTTCCCTTCCACGAGGATGTTGCAGTCACAAAACACATCCTGTCTGCGCTGCTCATTCAGCTGCTGCAGGAGGTGAGACTGGTGCGAGGAGATCTCCATCCTGAAAAGGGAAAGACACGGGTTTTACCACAGGCAGAAACAACGCTTTCCTAAGGAGCAAACGAGGTTCCGCAACAATTATGATTCTCACCCTTGTCCAGGGGCCATCGCCTTACACCTCTGTGTATTCTCGCAGGAGAACACAGTCCCCAGGACGCATTAGGCAGCAAGTTTCATGATGCTATTTAATGCCATGTTGTAGGAAATAGTCAGCAAGCCTCATTGAGCAGCTTCAACCAATCAGGCCTGCCATTTGTTTGAACTAAAACTTTTGACTTTGACTTTCACATAGTTTAAGCTAGAGGGGCTATTAGGTCTTACAATAGCATTCATATCAACTTATGACGACAGCAGCTAAGTGAGAAAAAGGGTGGGAAAGAGTAAATTCATTCAGACTGGGAAGGAGATAGAGAATACCTCTCTGAAATGTAACATTTAAGCTGAAACCTCGAAAGTGAGCAGGAATTAGCAGGTGAACAGTGAGGCTGGGGGGGGGCACGGTGGATTTCTGCTTCCAACAAAGTGAGGGTATAGATGATATAGAAACTCTCCTGGCACAGCATCCCTAGAGATGCTGGGAAACTAGAGCCAAACTGAAAAATGTATGGTTGGGCTCGCAAGGAAAACCAGGAGATCCCAAGATGTCAGTGGAAAGGGAGCTGAGCTGCAACAGCCAGCACAGGCACGTGGCCAGGGATGGTGCTGAGCAGATTTTCATCCACAGCAAGCCCCAGGCTACGAGGACGGAAGCTGGGAGCCACTAGGGAATGAAACTTTAGGGAAAAGGGATTGTTACCTTGCTTGTTCACACCTGAAAAAGGAGGAAAGTTTGTCTTTGCAGGGCCTTGCGTGGGGAGACAGTCCATGGAAGATGTTCAAATCCAACACTGTGTCTTATGAGATGCCAGAGTTCAAATTTATTTAATCTACCTGCCCACGCTGTAAATCTAACAGAAATTCATTCTGCACTGCTGGTACTCCTAGAGTAAATGTAAAACTGCCCACTAGGGATGCTATGTTCTTGGAATCCGAAACAGGCAGGACAGAAGCTATGGCTATCCTGCCTTCAAAAGCATTCTCCTCTTCATACAAAGTGGATTGCTTCCAATGTCACACAAACATGACACCTAATATATACTGTCTTAAAAAACAAAACAAAACTTCCCCCCTTTTTTTACATGTGTCTGTGGCTACTGTTTTCTCTGCTCCTTTATATAGAATTTATAGACAGATTTGTTTTGTGCTTTCTATATACTGTCTTGATCATCAAAATCATTCCTTCAAAAGTTATTAGTAACTCCCATGTTGTCAAAGCCAGTGGTCTTTTTTTTTTTAAGATTTAGTTTTTTTTTTTTTATTGGCAAGGTAGTTTTACAAAGAAAAGGAGAGGGCCCGGCAGCGTGGCCTAGTGGCTAAAGTCCTCGCCTTGCACGCACTGGGATCCCATGTGGGCGCCGGTTCTAATCCCAGCAGCTCCACTTCCCTTCCAGCTCCCTGCTTGTGGCCTGGGAAAGCAGTCGAGGACGGCCCAAAGCCTTGGAACCCTGCACCCGTGTGGGATACCCGGAAGGAGGTTCCTGGATCCTGGCTTTGGATCGGCATAGCATCGTCCATTGCGCTCACTTGGGGAGTGAAACATCGGATGAAAGATCTTCCTCTCTGTCTCTCCTCCTCTCTGTATATCTGACTTTCCAATAAAATAAAATAAATCTTAAAAACAAAAACAAAGAAAAGGAGAGATGAAAAGATCTTCCATTCACTAGTTCATTCCCCAAATGGCCACAATGGTCAGAGCTGAGCTGACCTGAAGCCAGGAACCAGGAGTTTTCTTCAGGTCTCCTATATGAGTGCAGGGTCCCAGTACTTGAGCAACCCTACACTGCTTTTCCAGGCCATATGCAGGGAGCTGGACTGGAAGTGGACAGCTGGGACATGAACTGATGCCCCATGGGATGCGGGTGGTTGGAGGTGGAGGATTAGCCAGTTAGGCATTTGTGCCAGTCCTGCTGCCAATGGCCATTTCTGTGTCCTCATTTTATTGACACAGTTAACTGCTTTCTTCACTGGACTGCCGGGCCACCAACCCTTTGTGGTTTTCCTCCTATCTCACTGACCACTCCTTCCCTGTTTCTTAGACTGGCTTTTTCCATTGTCCTAACCCCTCAGTGTTGGAATGTCCCCAAGCCTCTGATTCCCAATGGGAGTGATAGAAAAGACTGTTGTGTATCCCACCCAGTCTCATTGTTTTGTTTTGAAACATTTATTTATCTGAGAGTCAGAGTGACAGAGAGAGAAAGGGTCTTCCATCCACTGATTCACTACCCAGATGGTTGTAACAGTGAGGGCCAGTCCAGGTCAAAGCAAGAAGCAGGAACGCCAGTCCTGGTCTCCTACACGGCTGGCAGGGGTCTAAGCACTTGAGCTGTCTTTTGCTGCCTTTCCCGTGCATTGGTAGGGATCTGGAGTGGAAGCAGAACAGCCAGGACACAAACCCGCACTCTGATAAGGAATATTAATGTTGCAAGTGGTAGTTTTACAACAAGTCTTGATGTATCCTGACCACGATTTGGTACACTGCTTGCTCACTATGATATTGTTAGCTAATACTGCAGAACTAACGACAAAAACAGTGCTATGCAATAATCAGCATCTATTTAGTTCACATGCCTGCGGATGGCCTGAATTAGGATGGACTTGTCAGGGCAGCTCTGGTTAAATCCTGCCGGAGCCCACTCAACATATCTAGGCGTCAGCTAATTCGGACTGGACATAGGGCTGTTTGTCTGAGGTCATTGTGTTATATATGTCTCCCAACTTTCTCCAGCATCAGCTGTCTAGCTGGACAATTTCTTCCAGTGACAATGATAAAAGTGCAAAAGACCAAGCGGAAATTTGCATATGTGAGATTTTATACAGCTTAGGCTTAGAATTGGCGTATAGTCGTGTCTACAATGTTCTACAAATTAAAAAAAAATAGTCAAATCTAGAACCAAAGGAAGGGGAAACATCTTTCCATTTAATTTAACAGTGGTGATTTTTCTTATTGACTCATAGGAATCCTTCAATATCTTAGTTATTAATCCTTTGTAACTTAACTGCCTTGCAAATAATTTCTCCCAATCTGTACTTTGCTTTAAAAAAAAAAAGATTTATTTTATTGGAAAGTCAGATATACAGAGGAGGAAAGGCAGAGAGGAAGATCCTCCATCCGCTGATTCACTCCCCAAGCCAAGTTAAGGGCCTGGTACGATGACTTAGTGCCTAAATCCTAAATCCTCACCTTGTATGCAGTCGGACCAATTATGGGTGCCAGTTTGTGTCCTGGCTGGTCCATGTCCCATCCAGCTCCCTGCTGAAGGCTTGGGAAAGCAGCAGAGGATGGCCCAAAGCCTTGGGACCCTGCATCTGCATGTAGGAGACCTGGAAGAAGCTCCTGGCTCCTGGTTTTGAATTAGCTCAGCACCAGTTGTTGCAGCCGCTGGGGAGGGAACCAGTGTATCTCTCTGTATTTCCTTCTCTGTAAATTTGCCTTTCCAATAAAAATAAATAAATCTTGAGAGGGAGGGAGGGAGGAAGGAAGGAAAGAAGAAGGAAGGAAGGAAAGAAGGAAGGAAAGAAATGTAAAAAGTCACACTGCAGGAGCAGGTGCAATGGCATAGCAGGCTAAATATCCCCTACAGTGTTGGTATCCCATATGGATGCCAGTTTGAATCCCGACTGCTTCATTTCTGATCCAGCTCCCCGTTAATGTGCCTGGGAAAGCCGTGGAGGATGAACCAAGTCATTGGACCTTAAACTCACATGGGAGGCCTGGAGAAGCTCCTGGCTCCTGTATTAGCAGCAGCCCAGTTCCGGCTGTTACAGCCATTTGGAGAATGAACCAGTGGATAGAAGATCCCTGTGTCTTTCTTTCTCTCTCTGTAACTTTGCCTTGTCACAGTGCTGCCCGCATTTCACCTATTTCTACAAAGCATTTCTTGTATTTGTCCTAACACATAGGCTTAGGACCACCTACAAAATGTAGAATAAACATGATAGTAAGTGTTAGTGGCTAAATAGAAACCCTGCTAAAATTTCAGGAAAGCACTGGAGGATAGACTAAATTCTTGTGCCCTACACCACATGAGAGACCTGGAAGAAGCTCTGGGCTCCTGGCTCAGCTAGACACAGGTCTGGTTATTGCAGTCATTTGAGAAATTAACCAGTAGATAGAAGATTTCTCTCATTTTTTCTGCCTTTCCTTCTCTACAACTCACCTTAAAATACATTTTAAAATCTTTAAAAAACATTTCTCAATGAAGAATGATATTTAGGGTTTGGCCTAGTGGTGCAGCCAGTTAAGCTGCAACCTGTTATAGTGGCATTCAATATGAGCATTGGTTGGAGTCCCAGCTGTTCCACTTCTGATCCAGCTCCCTGCCAATGCGCCTGAGAAAGCAGGCTTTGCACCTGATTCCAGCCTCCTACTGAGATACAACATGGGAGGCAGCAGGTGGTGGCTCCCATAGAGTTGAGACCCTGTCACCTACATGGACTGAGTCTGAGTTCCTGGTTCTGGCTTTTGACTAGAACAATTCCTGCCACTGCAAGGATTTGGGGAGCTCGCTCTGTCACTTTGGCTTTCATAGAAATATAATTTTCAAAAAAATTGAATAATGGGCACTAGCATGGTGGTATAGCAAGCTAATATGCCTGCTGTGCTGGCAGCCCATGTGGGTACCAGTTCAAGTCCTGGCTGCTCCACGTCCCACCCTGCTCCTTTTCTTATGGCCTGGACAAGCAAAAGAAGACAGATTAAGTCTTTGGGCATCTGCACCCACGTGGTAGACCCAGAAGAAGCTCCTGTCTCCCAGCACTGGATCAGCTCAACTCTGGCTGTTGCAACCATTTGAAGAGTGAACCAGTACCTACAAGATCTCTCTCTCTCTGTCTCCCCCTGCTCCATAATTCTCTCAAGTAAAATAAATAAAACTACAAAAAAAAAATTTAAAGAATATTTAG